TATCCGCCAGGATGGCGACGTGATCCGCGTCGCGCTCCCCGCGGACCAAGTCTTCTACACCAACACGGCCCAACTACAGCCGACCGGCGAGCGACTCGTGACGAACGTCGCCACGCAGCTAATGGAGGCCTACCCGGGCCACATGATCGGCGTCGAGGGCCACACGGACGGGGCGCCCAGCGCCTCGGCCCAGTTCCCCACGGCCCAGCACCTGTCGGTCGCCCAAGCGACAGCGGCCTACGACGCCCTGCGGCGCACCGGGGTGCCGGCCGCCCAGCTCTTCACCGTTGGCCAGGGCGCCAACCACCCGCTGGTCTCCAACGCCACCGAAGCGGGCCGCCAGAAGAACCGCCGGCTTGAGTTGGTGGTGTATCCCGAGACGGTCCGTCGCCGCTAGGTAGCGTCCGCTGGGCGGACCGTGGCGTTCGCTTTCTCCTGCGTTGTCACTCCGCTTCCTGACGGGCGCGGCTCAATTTAGTTGGCTTCTTTGAGCCGCGCCCGTCAGGAAGCGGAGTAGATCGTACGACCAACCGCCAACCACGGTACGCCCGGCATCTGGTCACCAGGCGAACCCCGGGCGAGAATAGTGGCTCTTTGTTGACGCCCCGCAGCGTTACCCTCAAGCCCGCCGCCTCAAGCCTTACCGCCTCCCTTGCTCGCGATCGTCGATTACGGAATGGCCAATCTCCGCAGCGTGCAGAAGGCGCTGGAGAAGGTGGGGCACGCGGCGACGATCACGTCCGACCCGGCCGACGTCGCCCGCGCCGAGCGGGTCATCCTGCCGGGCGTCGGCGCCTCGGCGGACGCGCTCGCTGCGGTGCGGACGCAGGGGCTTGAAGGGCCGCTCAAGGACTTCATCGCCTCGGGTAAGCCGTTCCTGGGCATCTGCCTGGGGCTGCAGATGCTCTACGACTGGAGCTACGAAGACGGCGAGCACCGCGGCCTCGGCGTGCTGCCCGGCAAGGTGGTGCGCTTCGACGTGCCCGCCGAGCTGAAGGTCCCACACATGGGCTGGAACCAGGTGCGGTTCGTCCACCGCCCGCCGATCTTCGAGGGCATCGAAGAGGGCGCGTACTTCTACTTCGTGCACTCGTACCACGTCGTGAACGACGACCCGTCGGTCATCGCCACCGAGACCGATTACGGCGGTCCGTTCTGTTCGAGCGTTTGGCGCGGCAATCTCTTCGCCACGCAGTTCCACCCCGAGAAGAGCCAAACGGCGGGCTTACGGGTGTTGAAGAACTTCGCGGAACTACCGCTGGGTTGAGTACAACCGCGTCGTTACCGGCGCCAGTGACGGTCGAGCCGAGCCGTCAGCGTCAGCGCCCCGTGTGCGCCAACACGCCCTTACCAGCGACCGGCGCTCGACTCCGACCACTGACGCAGCCGGCTCGCTTGCGGATTGCGGGTCTCACAACCGACGGCGGCGCCGCTCGTGACGGTTGTGCGGGGCTGAACGCTTGGCGTTCGTTCGCCGCCCTACGCCGCCAGCCGGGGCGTGACGTAGGTTTGGCGTAGGCGCCGAGAGGCATTCCGGCGCCCGGTCCGCGCTTGCTGGAGCCGTCAGGCATGAACGCCCGTCGAAGAACGTACATCGATCCCGAAGTGCAGGGCGCGCTCGCGCGGCGGCTCGTACTGCACTGGGCGATCTTTATCATCGCGGCGGCGATACTGATCTTCGGCATGAACTGGCTCAGCGACCCCTTCACTCCGGCCGCGACGCACTTCCAGCGGATGACCAGCGACTACGGGCCGGCGCTGCTGGTGCTCGTCTGCCTAGCGCCGATCTTTGTGTTCGACGCGGTGCGTCTCAGCAACCGCTTCACGGGACCGATGCTGCGGTTCAAGAACGCGGCGAAGTCGCTCGCCTCGGGCGAGAGGCCCGCCAAGATACAGCTTCGACGCGGAGACTTTTGGCAAGAGGTCGCGGCCGACTTCAACCGGGTGATCGATCGTTTCGATCCCTCCGCCAAGCCGGACCACCAACCGCCCTCCACCACCAGCCTCTAATGGCAGCCCGCAATTGCAGCCTGCAGCAGCAGCCTGTCGTGGCGCCAGTAGCCTCCGCGAAGAGACCAGCCGCCGTGTTCCATCCCAACCGACCAGCGCGACGTGGCGTCGCGGCGACTGAGTTTGCCGTGTGCCTTCCCGTGCTCATGCTGTTGCTGCTGGGGACCATCGAGTGTTGCTCGATGATCTTCCTGAAGCAGACGCTCGCCGTCGCCGCCTACGAAGGGGGGCACGCCGCGCTCGCCCCTGGTGCGACGTCGGCCCAGGCCCGCGTGGCTGCCGAAGCAATCCTCACCGAGCGCCGCATCGCGGGCGGCTCTGTCGAGATTACCCCCAGGCCGCTGGAGTCGATCGCCGAGGGCGAGTTCTTCGATATCCGCGTCAGCGCACCAACCAACGCCAACCGCATCCTGCCGCTCAACTTCTTCGGGGGTCGTACGCTGACGGCGACGGCCTCCTTCATGAGAGAGAACCTCTAGGAACGACCCCGTGCGTCCCCCCCTCGTCTGCCGCCGTCGATCACGCCGCCCTCAACCGCGTCGTCGGGGCGCGATCCTCGTGCTCGTCGCCGTGCTGATGCCGGTGTTCGTGCTGATGGCCGCGTTCGCCATCGACCTCGCCTGGATGCAACTGGTGCGGACCGAACTGCGGACCGCCACCGACTCGGCCTCGCGCGCCGGGGCCAAGACGCTGTCGCTGCGTCAGAGCGAAGCGCTGGCCCGCACCGCCGCCGTCCAAGCCGCCGCGCGGAACACGGTCGCGGGCACGCCGCTTACGGTTGACCCCGCCGACGTGACGTTTGGTCAATCGACCCAAGCCAACCCGAACGCCCGCTTCGCTTTCAGCGTCGGCGGTTCGCCTGTCAATGCGGTGCGTGTCCAAGGGCTCCGCACCGCCAGTTCTGCCGACGGCGGCGTCAACCTGTTCTTCGGGTCGATGCTCGGCTCGGAAGAATTCGAGCCGCGGCTGACCGCGACCTCCACGGTGCTTGACCGTGACATCGCCATCGTGATCGACCGCTCGGGCTCGATGGGCCTCGACATCAGCATCCCCTACGACGCCAACGGCCAGAACTGCGGCCCGATGGGATCACGAACCCGCTTCGCCGCGCTCAACTCCGCCATCGGCGTGTTCTTGAACGAGTTGGAGCTGACGATCCCTAACGAGCAGGTCGCCCTGGTCAGCTATAGCAGCAGCTTCAACACACGCTGTGGCAACCGTCGCTTGCGTTACAACACTTCGAACACCGACCGCGCGTTGACGTTCACTTACAGCCGCATCACGTCGTCGATGGACGACTTCATGACCGACGGCATTGGCGGCGGCACGGCGATCGGCGAAGGACTGCGTGAGGGCATCTCGGCACTCGAAGACGCCCGACCCTACGCCATCAAAACCATCATCCTGATGACCGACGGACGCCACAACACGGGCGTGTCGCCCGAGTCTATGGTTCCTTCCGCGCGCGCCGCAGGCATTACCATCCACACCGTCACGTTCAGCCCCGCGGCCGACATCAACCGCATGCGGGCGATCGCGAACTCGGCCGGCGGCCGCAGCTTCCACGCCGACACGTCCGGCGACCTTTCCAGCGCCTTCCGCGACATCGCCCGCACCCTCCCGGTGCTGGTCACGGACTGAGCCATGTTGACGAAAGACTCAATGACGAATGACGAAACCCGAATGACGAAGGCCGCTGGCCGTCGCCGCTCCGCGCTGGGTTCCCGCTCCGCACCGGGTTCCCGCTCCGCATTGGGGCGCCGCTGGGGCCGCAAGCGACGGATGGGCGCGACGACTGTCGAGTTCGCGCTGGTCGCGCCGGCGTTCTTCCTCGTCATCATGTCGATGTTCGAGTTCACACGGCTCAACGTGCTCCGCCACACGGCCGACAACGCCGCTTACGAGGCGGCCCGCGTCGCGATCGTCCCCGGCGCGACGACGGCCCAGGCCCGCACCGAGGCGAATCGTCTCCTGACAATCGTTGGCGCCCGCGGCGCCTCGGTGAACTTCAACCCCGGCACGATCACGCCCGAAACCGACTCGGTGACGGTCACGGTCACCATCCCGCTCGACAGCAACGGCTGGGTCGTCCCCCGCTTCACACGCGGCCGCACGCTGACCTCTTCGGCGACGATGCGCACCGAGCGCGTGCGCTCCCGGTAAGGGAACCGCCAAGACGCCAGGAGCGCCAAGGTCGAAGAACTTGGACAGGATCGACAGGATTCTCAGCATAAGGGCTTGCCATGCAATGCCTTCAAACTGCTGTCGATTCGTCGTGTTGATCCTGTAAATCCTGTCAAGTAATACTGCATGGCGATTCCTGGCGCTCCTGGCGTCCTGGCGGTTCCAACTTGTAGATAGAACCGCTCCAGCGGAGAATGGCCGTATGCCAACGCCCCCCACAACGCCGCCGGAAGAGGACGACGACTTCGAGTACGAGGTCGAACCCGCCGACGAAGAAGTCATCGCGGGCCAAGCGCGGCGAGCGCGAGAAGAGCTCAAGCGCGCCGAGCAGGCGATCGACGTCGATTCGATCTACCGCGAGATGAACCGCCGCGACGACTTCGACGCCGCGTTCGAGTCGATCAAGGGACGCCTCAGCATCCGCCACTTGTTGATCGCAACGACTGTGGTCGCCGTGCTCTTGGGGCTCGGCGCCATGGGCTTCTTCAACGGGGCGACGTTCGCCGCGTTTATCTGCCTCTCGCTGGTGGTGCTCGGCTCGCTCCACGCCTGGCTGGGCTACCAAGAGAGCAAGCGCCGCGCCGAGCTCGTCGCTCTCCGCGAAGCCCAGCTGCGTCAAGCGCGGCGCGTGTCGGGGGTCGAAGGCGACAATATTGAGGACGACGAGGACGATATCCCGATCCCCAGCCGATCGATGCCCAGCCCCGCTGAAGTGCTGCGTGAGTACTTCCGCTTCGGCCTGGGCGAGTTTCTCCTCGCCGCCGCCGTGGCGACCGTTGTCATCGCCCTGCTGGCGTTCACCGAGTCGCCGCTCAAGGGCGCCGCGGCGCTCGGCGCGGTGGCGATCACCGGCCTCGCGCTGCAAGCCGCCGAGATCGACGTGCCCCGACCGCTAGTGCTGGCGTTCTGGCTGTCACTCGTGGGCTTCTGCCTGCTGACCGTCGTGTCGTTTGTCCTCTAACGCAGCGAGGAGAGCCGGAAGCGTGCGCGTCATCGGCGCCTAGAGACGCCTTCTACAGAGCCGCTTGCTCTTCAATCCACTCACGGATCAGCTCCTCGAGCGTCACCAGCGGCACGGCGCCGTTCACCAGCACCGCGTCGTGGAACTCGCGGACATCGAAGCGATCGCCGAGCTTCTCTTCCGCCAGTTCGCGGAGCTCGCGGATCTTCAGCTCGCCCGTCTTGTACGCCAGCGCCTGGCCCGGCCAGCCAATGTAGCGATCGACCTCCGAACGGATCTCGTGCAGCGACATCGCCGAGTTGTCGGCCATGTAGTCGATCGCTTGCTGGCGGCTCCATCCCTTGTAGTGCATACCGGTATCGACGACGAGTCGCGCCGCACGCCAAATCTCCATCGTCAGCCGCCCGAAGTCGCTGTAAGGGTCTTCGTAGAAGCCCGCTTCGAGCCCGAGCCGCTCGGCGTACAGGGCCCAGCCCTCGACGAACGCCGTGAAGCCGCCGTACTTGCGGAGCGGCGAGAGCCCTTCGAGCTCTTGCTGCAGCGCGATCTGCAAGTGGTGCCCCGGCACCGCCTCGTGCATCGACAGCGCCTCGATCATGTACTTGGGCCGCGCCTTGAGGTCGTACGTGTTCAGAAAGAAGAAGCCCGCCACCGTGCCGTCGCCTTGCGGGCTCTGGTAGTAGGCGAACGTCGTCTTCGGCGCGATGTAGTCCGGCACCGGCTTCAGGCCATACGGCATCCGCGGCAGCCGCCCGAACAGCGAAGGCAGCTCGCCGTCGATCCGCTTGAGGATCGCCGCCGTGTAGGCCATCAGCTCGATGTCGGTCTCGGCGTAGAACTGCGGGCTGGTGCGGAGGTGCTCGACGAACGCGGCAAAGCGATCCTCCTTGTCAGTCTCGAAGCCGCTACGGTCGATGATGTCCTCCATCTCTCGTCGGATCCGCGCCACCTCAGCCAGGCCCACGCGGTGCACCTCTTCGGGCGTCGTGTCGAGCGTCGTGAACTTGCGGACACAGTGGCGGTAGAAGTCCCTCCCACCCGGCAGCGCCGACGCGCCGATCGACGACCGGCAGTTGGGGACGTACTCGTCCGCCATGAAGACGCCGAACCGCCGATAAGCCGGGACAACCGACTGCGCGATCGCCTCGCGCGCCTCGCGGCGCAGGCGCTCGTGCTCCGACTCGGGAACGCCGACCGCAAACTTCTTGAGCGGTTTGTAAAGCAGGCTCTCGGTTGGATCATCGACGACATGCGAGTCGATCGACGACTCGTACCCTTCCATGATGATGGCCGGTACGGTCAGGCCGCGCTGGACCCCTTCGCGCATCAGCTCGATGTGGCCGTCGGTGTAAGCGGCGAACGCTCTCAGCCGCGCGATGTAGTTCTCGTAGTCCTTGACCGTGTCGAACGGCGACCAGTCCGGGAGCTCCGGGAACTGGATGTGGAAGCCGCTGCG